TTCATTACCAACTTGATTTTTCTTTTTTTTTTTATTCGCATTCTTCATTTCTTTTTTCGCTCCCTAATTCCCTCTCAATTTTTTTAAAGAATTTTTTTTTTTAAATTACATTAACATACTCTAAATTTGAATTCACAATTTTCTACTATAATGAATTTTTGACAGTTGTAAATTAATAACAATTGTTATGGCTAACAATAACTATTGCTAATAATTGCAATTATTAATTACAAATAGTTGCAATTACTAATTACAAATAATTCTCAACACTATCACTTACATTTAGTAAAAATTACAATTGTTAATGAATAAAATACTAATTACTGATGATTATAATTAGGAACAGTTATAATTACTAATGATTATAATTAATAACAGTTACAATCACTAATGATTATAATTAGTAACAGTTATAATCACTAATGATTATAATTAGTATCAGTTATAATTACTAATGATTATAATTAGCAACAATTATAGTTAACAACAATTATAATTTATAATTAGTTAGTAATAATCGATAATAATTAAAAGTAATTATAATTTTTATTGTAAATTATTAATCACTGTTATACTTCAAAACAAGGGGAGTTAAGTTTACTTTTTTAACAATTATAAAGTGAATTTTAGTCAAATAGATAAATGTAAATAAAAAAACTATTTAATAGTTGCAATAAAATCAAAAAATTACCCCCCAAAAAAATTAATTACCCAAATAATATTATTAAGTAGTCGCAGAAAATATAAAAGGATAAATTAATAATTAACAACTGAAAAAAGTTAATTAAGCTAATTACTAAATCAATTCATAGAGTAAACATAACGAAAATTTCATTTAATATTCTATACAGAGTAAATAGTAATATTATGAACAATATATATACATATATATATATATATTTTTTTCACCAGAATGTGTACATTCATTCCCCCTACGGATGTACATTTAATAATTAAACGTACAATGTATATTTTATCCCGAAATATAGAGAGAAAGAGAGATGCATATATATATATAGAAAGAGAATCCTTGTAACGATATCGTTGCACGCATATAATAATTTCAAATTGCCATGTATATATATATAAACGCGAATCATCGAGCGATGCTAATTTCTAAAAGCCAATCGAGTCCTGTTTGATCTACGTCCAACGACTTTCAGTAAGCCCCTCATTTTCCAACTGGTTTAAATTTCGAGCGTCGATTTTCCCTTGCACATAACTCTGATTTTCATTAACGATAAAACACACCGCGACCCCGAAATTATGATCATAGTTTCGCTAACGGGTTTATCATCCGGATACACAGCTGCTCTTAAATTCCAATTTCAATTTACACCGTCTCAGAAGAAAGCCCTTCCCAATTATTTACCATCGTGTTTATTAATTAATTCATTTGTTTATTAATTAACTGATTCATTTAAATAATCATTGTCAATCATTGTATAATATTATTAATCATTCAAATCAGCAATTAATTATAATTAATTATTAATTATTACACAATACCTAGTAATGCAACTACAATTGATAAAATTGATAATCTACTAGTTAGTAATAATTATATTTAGGAAAAAATTATAATTACTACTGATTATAATTAGTAACAATTATATTACTAGTTATTATAATTATAAATCATTATAATTACTAGTGATTGTAATTACAAATCATTATAATTACTAGTTATAATTATAAATCATTACAATTACTGGTGATAGTAATTAGTGACAATTATAACTACTAGTTATTATAATTAGTAAGAATTATAGTCTCTAGTTATTATAATTAGAAATTATTATAATTCCTAGTAATTATAATTAGTAACAATAATAATAACTAGTGATTGTAATTAGTAGCAAGCATAACTACTAGTAATTAAAATTAGTAACAATTATAATTACTAGTTATTATAATTAGAAATAATTATAATTACTAGTGATTGTATTTAGTAACAATTATAACTACTAGTTATTATAATTAGTAAGAATTATAGTTTCTAGGTATTATAATTAGGAATCAATATAATTACTAATGATTGCAATTAGTAACAATTATAATTGCTAGTGATTATAATTAGTAAGAATTATAATTCCTAGTGATTATAATTAGTAACAATTATATTACTAGTTATTATAATTATAAATCATTATAATTACTAGTGATTGTAATTACAAATCATTATAATTACTAGTTATAATTATAAATCATTACAATTACTGGTGATAGTAATTAGTGACAATTATAACTACTAGTTATTATAATTAGTAAGAATTATAGTTTCTAGTTATTATAATTAGAAATTATTATAATTCCTAGTGATTATAATTAGTAACAATAATAATTACTAGTTATTATAATTAGAAATAATTATAATTACTAGTGATTGTATTTAGTAACAATTATAACTACTAGTTATTATAATTAGAAATAATTATAATTACTAGTGATTGTATTTAGTAACAATTATAACTACTAGTTATTATAATTAGTAAGAATTATAGTTTCTAGGTATTATAATTAGGAATCAATATAATTACTAATGATTGCAATTAGTAACAATTATAATTGCTAGTGATTATAATTAGTAAGAATTATAATTCCTGGTGATTATAATTAGTAACAATAATAATTACTAGTGATAGTAATTAGTAGCAATCATAACTACTAGTAATTATAATAAGTAACAATTATAATTACTAGTTATTATAATTAGAAATAATAATAATTCCTAGTTATTATAATTAGAAATCATTATAATTACTAGTGATTTTTTATGAATCAATTATAAATTATTAATTGCTGTATTAATTTTATTAATTACAATTATTTGCGAATAAAATAATCAGTAATTATTATTATCATTATAATTATTTGTTAATAAATTAATGTAAATAATTACATTTACTGTAATAATTAAATTAATAATTGTATATTAAAGTACGATTTTAGCATTGAGGAAGAGTTTTATTTTTGGAACTATTTTTTTTGTATTATTATTGAACAAAAATAATCTTATAATTCATAAATGATGAGATGCTTGCGTTTGCACATCAGCTAGGTGATGAGAAAGCAACGGCACACAAAATCGTGGCGTACCTTCAAATCCGTATTCACTTGATTTACAAGTTATTCAAATATTCCGCGCGCGCTTGGTAAGCTATGATGAATACTCAGTGTTGAAATTTAATCCCTTTCCAAGACCACCCTCAGCCGCCCGACTCCACGACTCTTCACGCGAAATCTCTTCTAAATTTCTCTCTCTCTCTCTCTCACTCCCACCGAAAACAACAAGACTTAAAATAACAAAAATCTATATCCCCAAACATATTAAATAAAATATTAAATAGAAAGTTATTTAATTTATTAATTAATTTTTTAATTAATTTTTTAATCAATAAATTTGTAAATGTAGTTTGTTAATTTATTTTGAGAATTTAATTAAAAAGATTCAAGAGAAGAATTAAATTATTTAATTAAATTAGTAGTTAATTTATGTATTATTAATATTATTATTATTTTTATTAGTTATATTATTTATTAACTAATAAATTACTGAATCAATTTCTGTATTTTTGTGCTAATTAACTAAATAGTTAATTAATTAGTTTACTAGATAATTAATTTATTAGTTGACTATATAATTAATTTATTAGTTTTATTAGTTGTTTTATTTATCTATCGGCTAATTATTTATTTAACTTATCTATCATTTAATGTTTAATATTCAATTAATTAATTTACTAGTGAATTAATTTACTAGTTTATTTATTAGCTAACTAATTAATTTGTATATTTATTAGATAATTAATTTACCTAATAATATTCCTACTATAAGACACTTTATTTATTTGCGAATTAAATTATGAATTTATAAATTTTTTAATTAATGAGATATTTAATTAATTAATTTCTTCATTTCCGAGTTAATTGATTAATTTACTAGTAATTAATTTATATATTTTTGGTTTTGTTTAATTAATCAATTAATTTTAGTACTTTATTTAATTATTTACTTAATTTGTTTAATATTTTGTATAATTAATCAATATATATATGGTTTTGAGAGAATTAAAGAGAGAATTTGTGAGAAATTAAAAAGAAAATTGTGATTAAATATTTTGAGAAAATGGAGTAAAATTAATTATATGTTTGAAAATATCTAACATTATTTTGAAATCAATGATTGATTTAGACGATGAACTCTCGTAGCTTTGCAATGGACCGCGAGGGAAGGTATTATACATAGAGAGGGGTAAATGAGGGATGTTCGCCTTTGTCGTCGATCACCGAGGGTCGGATAATTGATAAACTCCAATTGTCAATTCATTGATTCGATTGTTTCAGTCAACTATTGCACAACATTGGTTAACCAATTGCATACTTAATTGAATATAATACAATATGCAATTATATTCTATATACATATATATAGTAATAAATAAATTTTCCTTCAACAAATATTTGTACCATTTTGCTATTTTTTCTATTTGCACTATTTTGCTATTTGTACTATTTTACTATTTTCTTATTATCTTTGCTATTTTATTATTTTTACTATTTTTACTATTTTTACTATTTTTACTATTTTTACTATTTTTACTATTTTTACTATTTTTGCTATTTTTGCTATTTTTACTATTTTTATTGTTTTAAATATCCATTGTAATTATTGACAATTGGACCAACTGTTAGTTGGAGCTATTTACAATTGGAACAATTATTATTTGTAACTATTGACAATTGGACCATTTAAGTTGCAACTATTTGACAATTGGAACTATTTTTACTTACAACTATTGACATTTGGAACAATTATTATTCAGTTGCAACCATTTTGGCAACATTTTCCTGTTAATTTACCAGATTTTTTACTGTTTAGTTTTAAAAAAATTGTTTTTAAAATTTGTGTGTATATATTGATTCGACAGTTTAAGAAATAAATTGAAAATTGATAAAAAAGAAGAAGAAGAAGTATTTTCTTTTTTTTTCCCACTGACCTGATTTTTGCCTTTGAGGACAAGAACATTGGTGACTCGACCAAATGGAACGCCCAAGTGGATAATTTCCGTTTCAGACACTTCATTAGGGATGTTTCTGATGTGAATCACTCTCGATGGCTTCCCATTATGAGTTTTATCCAATTTAGCCTGCGCAAAAGAAAACATTTTTGTTTTTAAATTTCCTCGCAATATTTTTTTTTTATATTTTACTTAAAAAAACTATTTTTTATACATTTAAATATCATATCAATTTTAAATAAAATTTGTCAATATTTATATTTATAAATAAATTTTATTTTATCTAAATAATTGTTAGTTATATAGTAATACACTGGAACGCCAGTTTAGCGAAATGTCGCTAAAGAGGTGTCCGCTGAATCGTCGTTCCAGTGTAGTAAAATTAAAAATTAATAATAAAATTAGAAAATTAAATAGTAGAGTAAGAAATAAAATAATGAAAGTAAAATATCAAGTAAAATAAAAAAGTAAAATAAAAGTCAAATAAAAGTCAAACAAAAAAAACAAAATAAAATAGAAAACATAATAAAAAAAGGAAAGTAGAAAAAAGAATGGGAAAATAAGATAAGAAAATTATAATATCGAAAAAAATTACATTTATAAAATATAAAAAAAGAAAAATATATTTTGTCGCAGCAGAAAAAAGAACGCCTTTCTCCAACTTCATGGTGTATAAAAAATATTTCGCGATAAAAATCGAGGGCGGAAAATACATTATTTGCATGCAGTGACAGTTTAAGATGTGCATATACATATACATATATTTTTTTTCGATGGGAAGCTTCAAAGCTGGATAACATAATAAAAAAGAAATGGATGGTTACGAGATTCTCTACACACGCAGTTTACTTGTGGCAAAGGGGGGGAGGGGATGGATGGATATAATGCTATCCCTTATCTCTGAGTAAGAAGCACGTTTTCCGATCAGTTAAACCCGACTAAACCTCAACAACGTTTTTTAAGAGTCTCGTCGAGCGAATGGGCAAAAGGATAAACGACAAGAGAGAGAGTAAAAGTTGTACACACATTCATAAAAAGGAAAAAAGAAAGATATGACATCTCTCTCACTCTCTCTTTTCTCCTTTTTCTTCTTCTCATTCTTCTTTTTTTATTCTTTCTCTCCTTCTCCTTTTTTCTCCTTTGTTTCCTTTTTCTTTCTTTTTTTTAAGTTTAAGAGAAAAGGGGAGAAAAAAAGAGAAAAAAGAGAAAGAACAAGAAAAATAAAAAGAAGGAAAAATAAATAAACGGAAAAAAGAAGAAGGAAATAGGAGAAGAAGGATAAATAAATGAAGGAACAAGGGAGAAGGAGAAAAAGTATCGGTGAAAAAGAAGAAAAGAGAAAACAAAGAAGAAAAGGGAGAAAATTGAGAAAAACTATAAAAAAGGGAAGGGAGAAGCAAGAAAAGAAAGAGAGAAATAAAAAAAGAGATAAAGAAGAAGAAAATGGAGAAAAATGAGAAAAGAAAACAAGAAATGAGAAAAAGAGGAAGAAGGAGATAAAGAAGAAAAAAAATTAAAAAGAGAAAAATAGGAAGAAGAAATAAGCGAAAAAGTAAAAGGAGAAGAAGAAAAAGAAGATGAAGAAAAAAAAGGAAAAGAAGAAAAAACAAATAGAAAAGAAAAACCAGGAAGAGATAAAAAAAGGTGGTAAAAAAAAGAAAAAGTAGAAGAAAATGGAGAAAAAAGGGTTAGAAGGAGAGAATGAAGGAAAAAGAAAAATCTAAAGGAGAAAAAGAAGGAGAAGAAATAATCGAAAAAGTAGAAGGAGGAGAAGATAAATAAGAAATAGAAGAAACAGAAAGGGAGGAAAAAAGAAGAAAAAATAGAAATTATGAAAATTGAAAAAAGGAGAAGGAGACAAAAGAAAGAAGGAAGAAAAATAAAAAGGAGATAAAGAAAGAGAATAAAATGGAGAAAAGCAAGAAGAAAAAATTGAGGAGAAAAAAAGGAGAGAAAGAAAAAAAAAGAAAGAGAAAAATAAGAACGAGAAAGAGAAGAAAAGAGAAATAAGCGAAAAAGTAAAAGAAGAAGAAGAAGAAGAAGAAGAAGAAGAAGAAGGAAAAAAGAAGATGAAAATAAAGAAAGGAGATGAAAAGGAAGAAAAGGAGACAAATAAAAAAAAGAAAGAAGAAAATGAAGAAAGACAAAAAGAAAAAAGAGAGAAAGAAGCAATAGTGGAAGAAGAAGAAAATACAAGAAGGAGAAAAAAAAGAAAAAAGAGAAGAAATAGGATATAAAAAAGCATAAAAAAGAGGAAATGAAGAAAAAGAAGAAGAAAAAGAAGAAGAAAAAAAGAATAAAGAAAATTCAGAAAATTCAGAAATTGAAGAAGACGATAACGAAGAAAAAGAAGAAGAAGAAACCGTCGAGCAGGGGTTGATATTAGAGTGAACTCGACTAGATTGAGCTTTGATTGAAAACTCAGCCTTCGGCAACAAGGGTTTCGATTTAAATATACCTACTAAGACTTTTTTTTATTCTTTTTTCTTCCCTTTGCAAAATTCTTGTCATGTATCTCGTCTCGCTACAGTTATAAATTGATTTAAACCGCAGAGAAAAAGAAGAAAGAGACTAAAAAAAATTGTAAAATGTTTTGTAATTCTCTTACATACACTTCTTTAGAGAGGGGTGGGGCGGGGGCAGAAAACTTTTCCTCCCCTCAATCTCCATTATTAGCTTTGTTGGTCTCGTTATCTCATTTTTTTTTTATTCAATATCCAGTGTCTCCCTCCCTTCCCTCTCCATTCACTCTTCGCCATCATCCTTTCTTTTCAAGTCAAGATTTAATTTACCTGATCCATTTTCGAGTATTGTACGCAATGCTCCTTTTTAAAAGCTTTTAATTAAAAGCCATAGATATAAAACGCTAAGGTGCCGTTATTCCACCATTTTTCACCATATATATATATATATAGAGAACCATTATCGTCCATTGTCAGTTCAATATAACGACGAGAAATCATTTTCAATTTCTCATCACGACAATTTTTTTTTTATCGTTTTTTCACTGTTTTTTTTTTTTTTTATATTTCAGGAAAGAGGTTTTTTTTTTTCTAAATTAAAACTTTGAAGCTAATGCTAAACTTTACGCTAATCGTAACTCTGAAAATAACACTAAAATTATCACTAGATTTAGCGTTATTTAATAATTAATAGTATTGTATTACTTGTAACTCTGAATTTAATGGTAAATCTAACGCTAATTATAACTCTGAAGCTGACACTGAAGCTGAAGCTAAACCTTACGCTAATTATAACTCTGAAACTAACACTAAAATTGTCACTAAAATTACCACTAAAATTATCATTAGAATCATCACTAAAATTAGCGTTATTAAATAATTCATAATATTGTATTACCCAACGCTAAATTTAATGGTAAAACTAACGCTAATTATAACTCTGAAGCTGATATTGAAGCTAACACTAAATCTGATAGTAACATTGAAGCTAACACTAAGCCTAATAGTAAAGCAAACGCTAAATATGTCCCTAAAGCTAACACTAAAGCTAACATTAAGGCAAATACTAAAACTAACACTAAAGCTGACGCTAAACCCAATAGTAAGTTAGAAAATTGTAACGCTAATACTAAAACCAAAGGTAATAGTAAAACAAACGCTAAGTGTCACTCTAATGCTAAAATCAAAGCTAATAGTAAAAAAAAAACGCTAAAATGAATGAGCTGACGCTAAATTCTTTGAAATTTCGATTTAGTTTCAGTGTTAGGTTTAGCGTTGGATTTAGACAACAGACGCTAAATTTATCGCTAAAGTTAACACTAAAATTAATAAGCCAACCCTAAATTATTTTTAATTCAGATTTAATTTAGATTTAGTTTTAGTGTTAGGTTTTTTTCGTTGAACTTAGACAACTGACACTAAATTTATCACTAAAATCAACACTGACGCCAACATTAATAAATCTCAACCATTAAATTTAACACTAAAGCCGATTCTCATATTTAACTCAAATTAATTTTTACATTTAATTTTCAAATACATTTCGCCGAGAATTTTATTTTAAGATTAGTCGCGTCGGGAAAATGAAAAATAAATTCATTTTTCATTTTTCCGACGCGATTAATCTTAAAATAAAATTTTTTCTTACACTGAAAATGATATATTAAAGAATGCGTATACATACGTATAAAATACAGTAAATACAAAACGAGATTTTACGATTATTATATAACTTAAAATCAAGAAAATATTCAACTATTTCCAAGAGGATTCTGGGGAAATAATAATCCATATGGTCCCCCCCCCCTCTCTCTCTCTCTTTTTCTCTCCGCAAAGAAAATATCCCATAAAATATATAAATTTAATCCCCAGAACCCTATATACATATATAGATCCATTATCCCTCTATTTTCAAATCCTTCAACTTTCTCACACTCTATATATACATATATACTGATTTGAAATTTTCCTTTTGAAATCCGCGTGTGCATAGTTGATGCTCTACATTTATATATATATATATAAAATGTAATATATAATATATAGTACATATTTTCCCCGAGACTCTCCCATATCTAGAGTTGAAATTTTTATAGCAAAATATTGAAATATGATAACAGACATTCAGGGGCAGAGAGGGGGGCGGGGAATTCCCCTTTTTTCCCTTCACCCCCCTTTTTCCTTGGTCGCGAGATCAACGAGTATTCCATGTTTGTAGGATAAATATATAAATATATGTCTGTATGCATATACCAACGACTATATAAGAAGGTTAAGGAGAAGGGGGGGGGGTGTTTTTTGATACTTTAGTAGAGGATTTAAAAATCACTTGTGTGCACGAATATGCCATACAAAATCCGGGTGATGTATTTTATTTTATTACGCAATATTCCATTGGAACATTTAAAATATTCCATTGAAATATTAGAAATATTTCATTGAAACATTGGAAATAATTCTTTCGAATATTCCATTGGAACATTAGGAATATTTCATTGAAACATTGGGAATATTTCTTTGGAATATTTCATTAGAACATTGGGAATATTTCTTTGGAATATTCTATTGGAATATTGGAAAAATTTCTTTGGAATATTCTATTGAAACATTGGGAATACTTCTTTGGAATATTCTATTGGAACATTGGGAAAATTTCTTTGGAATATT